ACAAAAAACGGTCACAAGTAAGATAAAAAATTAAAGAAGAGAGGTGAAGCCGGGTTGACTGAAAGTGTCGACCGAGGGAGGGGGGAAGACAAACCCGGAGCAGAAAAGAGGAATAAAAGTAGAGGCACAAGAAGAGACAAGATGCCTCTGGCTCAGTTGGCGGATCCCTGGCAGAAGATGCCCCTGGGGGGGACTGCTGGAGAGGTGAGACACGCAGAGAAACACTTTTATTTGTCATCTTTAACTAACTGACAAGTCACTAGTGTGACTGTGGCATTGAGACAGGTAGTAGTGTCGCACACCTCACCTGAAAGTCACCATTAGGTCACTACTGACAGCTGCAGCCACTCCATATTACATTTAAATGACCTTTAACACTCAAATATACTGTAATACTCTATAATTAGGGGTTTGAAATAGATATATACTCCACTATAAAGGCACTGAAATCTACCAAAAATGACCTAAAAATCTCTTTACTTGTGTTACAGTAAAATGAAGCTTAGACATGGCCTATCTATGTACTGAAAATACTGTAATAGGCTTGTATATGATATAAATCTCTTAATTTGTGTTACATTGCTGTGTTTGAAGCCTTTTAATGACTCAGTGCAAATGTATGGTTGCAACAAATGCTTTATAACTAAATTTAAAAAAAAGGGCATCACATTACTGCAAGTGATGTTAATTCACCCTACAGAGTGGCATAGAGAGCTGAAGCAATACAATATTATCTGTCAATCATTTACAGTGACTTTTAAGTATGTCAAGCTTAGTGTAGGCTACCACAGCTTTCATTAATGTACCATGTAGGCCGATGTCTTTAAGTAGGAAATGCGTATAAAAATGTAATATCACTAAAACCACTGTCGATTAGCTGCTTGATTAGTCATTGGGTTCAATTACTGCTCTGTAGTGCATGAAATGATGCAGTGTGTAATTAGTCAGATGGCCAATTAACTCTTGAGTATCATCACCAGCAGCTTCTGATAGAGTTACACTTAATGACTTTCTAAGTCTATAAACAAACGAGCGGTGTGTTATGTGGAGCGTGGGCAATCTGTGCTCTTTGTGATTTGCCGCTCTGATCACATGTTGGTGGTTGTTTTTGTATTGTTGTGATTAAGAATAACACAGAGACGGCTTACTTTGGGCAGGTCCAAGATGACTTTAATAGAGTGTATTGAATCTTAGTGTATGGACCGTTTGCTGTGTTGTGTAATCTATTGTGTAGGATATCGTGTGTCGTTTGTTTTGTGAATTGGATCGTGCGTTGTCGTATATCGTATCGATTCGTGTATCACATCGTGTACCATCCTGTGTATCGTCTGGTCGATCGTAGGATATCGTGTGTATCGTATCACATCGCATTGTATCGTGTTGTGCAGATTTAATACCATTTTCAAAACTAATAGATACTTTATTGATCCCGAGGGAAATTAAAATGAATGATTTTCAGACACAAGAACAATATCTCTACAGGACTCTGCAAAGTTAAAATGGACAGTTAGTGAAACAATAGACCAACTACTACATTTTTGTTATTTATCATTTTTTATTTCACTTGTTAAATCTTTTATTTTCCTGTTGGTGGCCCCGGCTTACACTGGAAACTCCGACACTGATACCAATTTATGTGGAGAAAAATGTATTAGTTAATGATACAGCAGGTGATGTAGGGAATTTCTACGCTTGAATGAAAAAGACGTCTTCAAGGATTTTGTACAAACATAACTATGAAAAATACCTCTTTTAAACTTACAAAAGTGTACTACAGGTCGCTATAATAATATTATATCATTATATATATATTATACAATGTGGAAAATGTAAACGTGCAAAAGTACAGTGACTAGAATAATTCCACTTACATTATTTATCATGTTTCAGTTGTCTCTTATTGTCTTGTTTTCTTAAACCAACAGTCCAAAAACTTTTAAAATTGTAACATTTTATTACATTAACACAAAATAACAACAGATAAGAAGCTGTTTCCCAAGAATGTTTAATGCAAGAAAAATGATTTAATCATTAAATAATTATCAAAGGTTTTGGGGTTTATTCTGTGTGTATTTTAGCTCTGAAAATGTTTTAAAAAAAGAGGTTTTCACAAATGATGACATGTGGGTGGAAGCATCTCAAGGTGACATTAGAGTCACAGAGTCGCTGCATGTTTTAGGATGTTTTCCTTTAGTTGTTTCTGTTCAGGGATCTGTGGGAAGGCCTTTGCATTGGTTTCAAACAAAAGATTGAAACAGGCAGTCAGAGTGAGTGATTGTTCTTTAAAAAAGAAGGCCTTGTCTTCAAAACGGAGATTGAAACAGAAACAGATCCTGTGTGTGTATTTTTTTTTCTTTCTCTTCCTTCCTACAAGTTTTTGAATCTTCTTAAAGAGCGTGAGGCGGAGCTAACAAGGCCGCATGATTCAGGAAGAGCGTTTGTCTGAGTTTGTGTGTGTCCACTTCCGGTATGAGGTGTCACAAGGGCTGCATGGAGAAATGCGTGTGTGTGTGTGTCACTCTGTAGGCAGATTGTGAATAATCAGACCTGAGTCACAGCCAGCTTTTTTTTCCTAACAGGCTCATACCTGCTCACTGTGTTTTTTTCCAGATGACCTCTCGCAACCTTCCTTATCACCCAGTGCTGATTCTTCTTGGCGTTAAGGTTTCAACTTAAACTTTAACTTGATTTTCCAAGAGGATTTTTTTTTTTTGCAGCCATGTGGAAACAAGTAACATGTAGAAAACACCAGCATATAGACTCAGACATTAAGAACACCATAACAACATTCAAAAAGTACATCAAGTAACAACAGGAAACCAAGAATATATAAAAACATCATCTGTCATCAGGTTCATCATTACAATTCAGTTCCTTGATAATCTGAGTTAGGGAAGATTTCTTCAACTTGTTGGACTTCACCTTTTGTTATCTGTTCCTCCTACCTGAGGGCAGAAGCTCAAACTCACCAAAGAGGGGATGTAGAGGAAACTGTAGGATGTCTCGAGCCTGAGCCGTTGCTCTCTTACTAAAGGTGAGAGACAGACCAGGTAATTTAACACAATGATTTTACTGGCAACTTTAATCATTTGTTGCAACCTATTCTGGTCTCCTATTGAGAGATAACCAAACCAGGTCACAAAGCTAAAGTCAAGGAGAGACACCAAACCATGATTCAGGAAGGTTATCAAAAAAAATGTCCATACTTAGATACGTTTGGACACCACTTGTTTGAAAATGACAGAATCTCCATTATATTAATGATTGATAGTATTAAAAAGCACCGGTGCTTTAAAAAAATACGACAGATCTGGATTATTCTGCGTCATAAAATAGAAATAGAAGATGAGGTGATCAGTTCAGTGCACATATTTTTTCAAATAAGAATGCATGTTTTCAAATACAAGGCATAGATGATATTACACTGAGTTACAAGAATAACACCAATTCTAGTCATATAAAGTGGGCCCAGTGAAAACTTAAAAACTTCTGGTACCTTGACAACCCGACTCGGCTCAATGAAACTGTCCTTTTCGTACACCTCTGAAGCCTTTCAGTGTGCAGCCATGTGTCTGATAGCTGAGTGTAAGCTGTCATACCAGCTTTTTTTTCTGGGCCACTACAAGACAAAAAGGAGAACACACACACTGTCACACACAAAGGAGTGACTTTTGAAGTTGTGGAATGACGAAGAGATGTTTCTGTGAGGTTTTTGCCCTGAAGGGAAGATCATTCAGCACACGCACAAAGAGCAGAGAGGGGCTGCACTTGTCTAGGAACAACGATGAGACTAGTAGATCAAGATGACTGCAGGCTTTAATGTGTTCTTACTGTGGGAAAAAAAGTGCATTAGAAGAACTGAGTGGAAAGTGTTAAAATACCCTTGAAGGCTGAAAGTGCTGATTATTCTTCATCATATTGTGATCATGTGGGCTGCATGGTGGTGCAGTTATTCTTAAATTCCTGGTTCGAATCCCCAACCTGGTGGGGCCTTTCTGTGTGGAGCTGCATGTTCTCCCCATGCATGACTCAACATATATGTTTGCAATGATATCAATACATTTTATAAAGGGTTTTAATTGTAAAAATAAATAAATTAGCGTTTTGGAAAATGTAAGCAGATCCGCTTAATCTGTGATCCACTCAGATCCACTCATAGAATAAGTCCAACTACAGTCTATTAAAACTTCCTTTTAATGATTGTTTTTTATTATCAATATTCTGTTTTGCATATAAAATGTTAAGAGATATATTTTAAAAGGACTTTAAATGCCCATCGGACCCACCTGAGATCTTCTGTGTTTGTTTGACTCAGGCTCACCGGGTCTGCAGATTTGTTTTGCACAACGATATGAGATGAGATGATGAGATTCAACTTTATTGTCATTACACATATACAAGTATAGAGTAACGAAATGAGGTTTGGCATCTCACCAGAAGTGCAAATAAGCAGAAAGTGCAATAGTCTGTGCTATGTACAGTAATATCTTTACAATGTGGACAAAGTCAACGCTGCATGATTATTAATACCATAAATTCAAACCTGTGGGATCAGACGTCGTTAATTTTTCCTCATAGCATGATAATAAACATGTGTAAATGGAGCCAACGAGTCTGACAGGGGAGGGGACAAAGGGAGAGGCATGGGTGATACTGCATGTTAAAGAACAGGTGTGTGCAGGTGTCCATAAGTCAACATTAAGTCAGTTATGGTAATTTGACTGCAGCTGATCTGCCAACTTATCTAAACGAGAGGCTGTTGGAGCTGCAGCGGTTACTCTGACACTCTGTCTTCTGACTTACCGTATGAAGAGTGACAGTACTCTCCTGATCATAATATTCCAACAAAAGCTATCCTGCATGGACAAGGGTCCTCACAATCCAAATCAAATGAGAGATTTAATCCAAACTAGGGCTGGCACTTTCAATCGAATGTTTGAATTCTATTATTTTGCATAAAAAAAATAAAAAAATTGTTGTCTTTTTTTGCTCTTGTCTTTAGCTGTTGAGCGGTTGTTTGAATTCAACTGCTTTTATTTTGAAATAAAGTCAGGCCCCTTGTGCTCGGTAAATGAAAACAGCTTAAAGGAACGGTAAAAGAGGGACACTTTTCAGTTCATGAAGAGTTTTGAGTCAGCTGATTGAAATGAGGCCTTCAAAGATGCAGCAGTGCTGTTCTTTTCAGCTGTGACGAGACACTGTGGCGGCTTATCCGCGGTGTGCTTGAATGTTGCATTTATCGTGATAAAAAAAAAAAAAAAAAAGAATGCATTCATTTCAGACCTTAATTAATTTCAATTAACAAGTTAATGCTGACTGCCTTAATCCAAACACATTACATCCATAAAGATCCACAGATTGCTTCAAATTTGCCACTATTTGAACTGTTTACTCCCAGACTGTCTGAAGGGTTTTAATTCTTTAATCTGACCCTGCAGCTCGCCCGTACGACTCTGTCCTCTCTGCCAACTTCTGTCTCTCCCTCCGTCTCCTTATAATCCATCACTCTTCCTCTGTGTGGTCCATTTCCTCTTCTATTCCTCTCTCTCTCTCTCTCTCTCTATCTATCTCTCTTTGCTGTGTAGTTTGTCAGGCTTATCCTCCCCTCGCTGCACTTACCCGCAAAGTAAATACTCACCATAATCGCTTTTATAGTTATTATTGTTTTGGTCGGGCAGTAGTATCAGTGCTATCAGTGTCTGAATCACAGCTGTTGTTCAGCAGGGGAGCGGGCAGGCGGCTAATCCTTACATAATGCTAATTCATTCATATCTGTTGTTTTCAATTTTCCTTTTGTCGAGCACACGAGGTCGAGGGTGCAAGTTTGGTGGCCCTGATGAAAACTCTCAAACTATATCCATCTGCTGTTTTTTAAGATGTCTATATTTACCTTGAACTCAGTTTGATTCCGCCGTCACTCGGAGCAGCAGGGACATGATGAGAAGTTTTATTTTTTATTTTTTTTCTTCATAAAAAGACGCCTACTCTGTGAGCCGTGCGATTCACCTCTGAATGCTCGGTGGCACAGATTGAAAACAAATCATGAATGTCGGGAGCAGAAGGCCTTGATGTGACCAAAGAATGAACCTTTTTAGATGATCTTCACTGATGTGACGTACAGTATACAGCATAGGATTACTGTGCATCAGTTAGTTAGAAATCATTCTAAATACATTCTCATGTTTCAGGTTCAACGGGTACAGGAAATGCAGGGATTGAAGCTGCTTTTTACAACTCATGGGTTGCTCCAAATCTCTTCTAAAAGCTCTCTGAGTTTATTCAAAGATTATACTCTTTACATGTTATTTTATTTGCACCATCGCTCAAATCAGTATGCAAAAATGACTCACAAACACGTCTAAACCCCCACATAAATCACCCATCAGCCATAACATTATGGCCACCTGAGCAAGCGAATGCAATCAACAGTTCTACCATGAATTTTAACATTTTTACAAAGCTTTTACATGTTCAGTTTTTGTTGACACGTCAGAAAGGTGAGATTTATTTTTATTATTGAAGTTGTAGTGGGTGGTGGTGATGGTGGACTGGATTAACATTTTGCCCACTCCACGAACCTACATGAGGGGCTCATAATGTTACGGCTGATTGGTTTTTTTGTTTTGAAATAGCTGCACCGTTTAGCAGATTGACGAGTTACTATCTGTGACTGCTAAATTGTGGTTTTATCCCCTTACATAAGTCATTGTGAGGATGCCACTAACTACCAAATGTAGCACTGTTTTTTAAGATATATTAAGGACCTGTTTTTCCGCTTTTATCCAAAAAGTGTTCTACTGTTTATTAATTTCTGCAGATTATATTTAGAAATTAAAACTTGTATAATAGACTTTATTTAAATAAGGCAGTTAAAATGTTTATTTAGGTAAAGTTATCTTAGTTGGTTGTGCAGAGTGTGTTTTGAAGTCTCTGCAAAATTCATCATCTCAATACATTAAGTGTTAGAACTGGTCCCTTCTCTTTATTACACATTGCACGACGACTATACATACTTTACAACAAAAACCTGCAACGTGTAACGAGCATGTGCGGTGACGTGTTGGTGTTTCCAGCCGTTGTTCAGGTGAACATGTTTGGACCTGAAGCTGTGACGTTGATCCGCCTGTCAGGTTCACACGGAGCAGCAGTAATCACCAATGTCAACGCTGCATGTTAGGTGTGTGTCAATGTGTGACGTCTTTGTCTGTGTTATTACAGGATGCGCATCACGACCCCGAGGACTTGGTGGGCGATGACGACTCCATGCCTCTGTGCACCGTAAGTCTGAATCCTGTTTTTAACATCACATGAAACGTGGAGGAGGCTCCCAGAGCAGGTTTGGAGGTTTCTGTTAGTCTTTCCCGACCTTAAGTGGGATTCAGTGTAAACACAATGAGCGCTGTGTTTGGACTGACAACATCGTAACACTCTGAAGGAAGCTGTCTGTGTATGTGTCTGTTGTTGAAGACTAAGCGCCTCACCTGGTCATTTCTACAATCACACATTTGCAGAATTATGTGCGCGTTTTGGTTACAAAGCTCAGTTTTGCTCTTTGATGATGTTTGAGAAAACTGACTCCCACTCCTGCAGGATAATTGGCGGTTTGAAAGTGAAGCGTTGTGTGGCTCTCCATTAAAATCATGAGTCATCTTGAAGCTGAAAAAAAATAATCCTCCCTCAGATCCTCCGCACAGCTAGATATTATCATTTATTTGTGAAGTTGTTGTGATTACTGGAGGAATCTCTGGATTACATGTGATGGCTTACTCTGAAGGTAAACCCCTCGTTCCCTCAGTCACATTCATTTTTTTACTGCTTCTTCTTGAGTCACTTCCTCTGTCCCAGTTTCAAAGTGTGCACAAACTTTATTTTGATGTTGTAACAGCTCTGTGAAATGTGCATGTTTAGGAGGAACTGGACCACAAAGCATTGCAGCTTACGAAAAGGAAGCTTTGCAAAACAGTGATAAATATTTGTGTCATGCAACTTATTTGTGCATATTAAAAAAACATATTTATTGGACCTTTTGTGAAGTTTAAGGGGTAAAGATTGAGAGAAGCACTTAGACTCTGGACCTCTTTGGTTTTTTAAGTTTTATTTTTTTGTCATTGTTTGATAATTTATCTAAATTTAGTCTGTTTGTCTTCCTTTTTTTTAAATTAAGATGCTCATTTACTCATTCTCAAGGGCAGCTGTATCTCAGTGGTATAGTCGGTCGTCTTTTAACTGGAAGGTTGGGGGTTCAATCCCCAGCTCCTGCAGCCACTTGTCTGAAATGTCCTTGGGCAATACACTGAACCCCAAGTTGTCCCCACTGCTTCATTAGCGGCGTATGAATGTGTATGAATGGATTAGTTCATACTGATGGTCACACATAGCAGCCTCTGCCATCAGTGTGTGAACGGGTAGGTGTGACCTGCAGTTTAAAAGTGCTTTGAGTAGTAGTCAGGAGACTAGAAAAGTTCTATAAATCAAGTCCATTCACCATTTACCCATTCACAAAAGGAAACAATGTTATGTCTTGGGAGGGAAATTTGAATCTTTAGGAAAGTTCATCGGTGGTTACTTCCTGTTAGGCCGGTAATTTGACATAGCATTTATCCCTGCGTTCTTTCCATAGTTTTCCTGTAGTATGGATTGCATGTGTTTATTTTATTACAGTGTGGAAACAATTACTTAAGTACTCATTGTTGTTGTTATTTGAGTATCGTTTCAATATGCTTGCACCTGCACATGCTGTGTTTTAGGCTACAACAGTTCAACTTGTGTACATGACAACAGCAGGTCCATGTCCAGTCCACCACATTTTTTAAAGTAAAACATGTATAATTTGTAAGTAATAAATGATGTGTTCATAAGGTAATGAGATAACCCTAGTTTTTTAAATGAATGAAAAGCCAGTCCGTACATAAACTGCCAGAACAGAACATCTTTTAATTTACAGTGTTAGCCGGATCATTCCCCTGGGTTGTGTCCCAGTTTCATACTTACAGCCTACATATAAACCACCTGCCCAAATACACACAAAGCAAGAGAAGAAGAAAAGTCTGTCTCTATAAGAAGTTTTGTGGTCACACTTTGCTGTTAATAAACAGCCCTTGTAGATATTACGTTGTATATTGTACATGAACATTATAGAATAATAAATTCTGGTAAAAAAAAAACACATTCCCAGTTCAAACAAATCTCAAAAATACTAAAAAATAGTGATGAACATCTTTTATAACATCCTACATCTCCCAGAATGCCTTTACACCACAGTAATAGATTAAAAAAATGTGTTTCTCTCATTCAGAGGAGGAAGTTTGAGGATGACTCATCCACTCTGATCTGTTTGGGTGTGTCTGTTATTCAGAATTCATTTTCAGTGAGTGCTGTCTGATAATCTAATATCTCCATTTGATTGAAGTCTGACTGACACAAATCAAAACCAAATTAAATTCTGATCTGGACTGATGGATTTGTCACCTCGTGTTTATCAAAACAGGATCGGAGTCTTGGGCTTTATTTTTGATGAAACCTGAGGCTGCTGTGGTGCCTCTGCTGCAGCTAATCTCCGAGCCGACTCGTCCTGCGCTCACGAGGAAGCAGCAGAATCAGCAGCAGTTTAATGTGATCCTCTGCTGCAGGAGTTTCTGCACTGCAGCTGAAACGCACACTGACTGAGGGTAGACGTGTTTGAATAGGAAAGGAAACAGTTGCATCACACTGACATAGGGTTGCCATGGTACCAAATTTTTTAACTTTGATATGACTCTACTAAAGTATTAATGATACTTCTTTCCATACCATGGCAGGAAGTCCCCGTCAACCAATATTGGACAGTTATTTTCGTTTAATCACAAAAAAAGTGCAGGCAAACTCCTGCAGACTGTCCAAACTGCACAAATCAATTAGCAGTGTTCAAACAAACTCCGTTATTTTAATGATCGATGGTATTGAAAAGTACAGAACCTTAAAAAAACTCAAAATCTTCATATCGTCATATTTTTATCACCACGCTGCTTCGATGCCGCGCCATATTTGTTTTGCTAATGCGTCGCTTGGTAGTAACGTTGTAAAGCTGTAAGATACCAGAGTAAGGAGTATACATGCCACAGATTTCTGTTCTCTTTTGGAGTTCTCTAGGTAGCAGTATCGGGTTTCTCAAAATGGGGATAAGGGCTTATCCTAGTTTTTTAAAATTAGGATATGATGTTTACATGCTCTAACACAAAAACAGGATAATTAAAAAACCTGATCAAAACCATGATACTCAAGTCCATGTGAACGCACTCACTGTTGTTACTGTCATAATGTGTCATCATGTTTTCTCCTCTTATGTCACTACAAGTTCAGACGTTTCTTATTCTTTATTTCGTCTTTGTTCTACAAATCTTTCAACTAAAAACATCTGCATAGTTCCCTTAAAACTCTGAGGAAATCGCTACTTTTCTTAAAGTATGGTGTAATATTGTATTATCTTAAAGGAAACACTGGCAGGTCAAAGGATTTCCCTTAAAACATCCTCAGGAAATCTATCAGGCAATAACTTAAGACAACCATGGCCTTAGTGATTTGATACACGCGGGCGCAGCATGTTGGGATTGTGTAGGTGAGCTTAGCATATAACAGCATGCTAATTTAATGCGTTTTTAATTCAAATGAAACGGTCTCAGGGTTAAAATCTAACTTTATTTTGGTATGCACACAGCCCACAGAACCATGCAGCTTTTGTTAGAAAGAGCGTGAGCACATATTGTTACATTTCAAGTTATAAAAATAATAAAATATCTGACAAGCTGCAGAAAACAGCCTGATGTCTCCTCCTGAATCTGACAGAATCTGACTCCCATCATACTGTGTGTGTGTGTGTGAGACTGTGTGTGTGAGACTGTGTGTGTGAGACTGTGTGTGTGAGACTGTGTGTGTGTGTGTGTGAGACTGTGTGTGTGTGTGTGTGTGTGAGACTGTGTGTGTGTGTGTGTGTGTGTGAGAGTGTGTGCTGCAGACTTCGGAGAGTGAGGTAATGAGTGCTCAGCTCTTCTCAGACAGTAGATCTATAAACCATCTCCTCTGCATTTAAAAATCGATGCTTGCAGCTGCTCTGCCTGCCTGCCACCGACACACAGACACACCCACACACACACACACACACACACACACACACGTCTGGAGGCAGGAAGCTTGAGGTGAAAACATTATGAACATCACGTTGTGTGAATGTGTGTGTGTGAGGATGAATATATTACAGAGCTGTTAATGAGTGTGTCCGACTTTTCCACTGGCTCAAATGAATGTAAAACTTTAGTGTGTGTGTGTGTGTGTGTGTGTGTTTTTGTTTGCGTTTGTGTGTCAATTAGGTCATCTATACAGGAATAGTATTAAGTTAAGAAGAACTAGAAAATAGATTGTGACAGTGTTGTCAGTTTTGGACTATATTGACACACATAATATACACATGCAACTGTATCTGTCCTGAAGACATCAAATGCCATTTATGATATTGCTCTTTATTTTATCACAGGTAACAGATTTTGTTCTCGCCATTGTGACCTATATCACTCTGTAGGCTGCCACCGGTTGGGTCAACGCAGAAAGCAGTACAGTATTCTGTATATTTACAGGGGTCTGATTGGTGAACTCCCTCCTTATCTGACTTATCTTCTATTCACAAACATCCCTATCCATACAACCAGGTCTCAAAACTGGGTCCCTGTAAAAAAAAATACCAAGAGTTGGGACTTAATGGGGAAAGTCTGCTTTAAGTGTTGCTGCAGCCATTATGTGGAACATTTTTCAAATGACGACTAAGTTGCCTTCTCTTGTATCATGCTGTGTATTTAAAGAGCTAGTGTCTGAAAAAAACTGGAAGTAATTGCAACTGCTTCAAATTGGGACTTTTTAACCAGGGCACGGATTTGCAAGAATCAGTGTGTGTTTATGAATGCATTTGTGATTTATTTATTTTTAACAGTTTTTATACGTTTTTTCTCGTTAATTGTATTGCAGAAGGGCACCCCTGGAAAAGAGACCTGTGTTCTCCCTGCTTAAATAAAGAATAAATAAAATGAAGGTCCAAAATGAATGCATTAACTTTTTTTTTAATTCACATTAATCAGCTTCTGTTTTGTCCCCTGTGGTCAAAAATACAAATTTAAAAGCATAACAAAGACTGTTTTAGAATATGAAGTAAAGGAATTGAATGTAGTCTGACTTCTGCATTAGTGTGTTGTGCTGTTTTGGTCATATCATTGCTCTACACAGGGTAAAGGAACACAACTAGTTAATCTATGATT